TTCTAGGACAGCTGTCCAAGAGGCCAGCCTCATCCCCAGGCAAGAGTCCTGTACAGCTGAAATGGGGGAGAGGTGTGACAGGGTCCAACGGGTGCTGTGCTAGGGGGCGGGGGGCCACAGGGTGAATGTCAGGGGCAGGGGGGCTGCCTCAAAGGGCCCTCTTTTTGCAGCCCTCTTCTTGCTGCCGGGAGCCCTTGCGTCCCCTTTCTCACGCCAGCCCTGCCTCTTCTCTGCAGACTGGCAGGTTTCACAGCAGCTCCAGCAGGCCTCCCACGACCGAGCGGCAGAGAGGGAGATCCTGGCACAGAAGATCCGCGCCAAGGAGCACCAGCTGGAGGAGGCCACGGGGGAACTCAGCTCCCACAGGCTGACCCTTCAGGGCTGTGAGGCGTCTGGAAACAGGATGCAGGCGCGGCTGCAGGAGCTGGAGCAGGCGCTGAGCGGAGCCAACGACAGCCTGGCTCTCCTGCGGGAGGAGAAGAGCCGATCGGAAGAGGAGTTGCTCCAGGCCAGATCCTGCCAGCAGGCGGGTAGGCCCTCTTTCTCTTGAGCCTCATTTTCTGCCTCTGAAGCAAAGGTCTTCCATGAATTAAGAAACCCCAGGCTAGCCTGCATGATTTGCCTCCAGGGCGAGGGGGTCAAGGTAGGGCCGGAGTGAAAGAGCAGGGCTCTGCTGCCCTTCCTCTAGGTCTTCTTCAACGAATCTGACCTCTGGATGTTTATATTCCCCATCTGGGTGCATCTCTGATGAAGGGGGCTGGAGTCCCTGAAAGCTTGCGTGAAAAGCCGCTTGTCACTTTATGTGGTTGTGCTTGTTATCAAGTCACCTCCCACCCAAGAAATAAGTGACCCCCAAAATGTCAGATCAAGCTATGGGGTGGGTGAGGTGCCCAGAACAGGCTTGGGAGCTCCTCTTGGCCCGCTGCTGCTTTAGGAGCACAGTTCTCCTCTAGCCAATGTTGCTGCCACCACAGATGTACATGCACACACATGCACACTCGTGCACACACACACAGAGAAACCATCATGGCACCATCCTATGGAATCCTGGTGTTTACACAAACTAGTGTAGTGTAGATACCTGGAAAGAAAAGGAATACATTTTTAAAAAAACTCCACCAAATTAACCTTCCCGTAACTTAATTTGTGGACCCCCTGTGCCTCCCAGGAGAAGGGTAAACCCATGGGGGCTGTGGGCGAGCTGCATGGCAGCCCCACCAAAAGGAGGGAATGGGGAAATTTATAGCTGAGGAGCCTCATGATACAGTGGTTAAACTGCAATACTGTAGCGAAGCCTCTGCTCGCAACCTGAGATCAATCCTGTGGGCTCAGCTATCCAACTCAAGGCTGACTCAGCCTTCCATCCTTCCGAGGATGGCAAATGGAGGACCCAGCTTGTTGAGTGTGTGTGCACAATATGTAGCCTGTATAATTAATTTGTGAAACACCCCCCCCCAGAGTGTTTTAAGTGCTATGAGGCAGTATATAGGCAGTTCGCTTGCCTTTTGCTCTGCTCTAGGAGACATTGCTGTATGTTGGAACACAAAGTCGAGCACCCAGAAGTGGCCCTCAGCCTCCATGCGGAAGGACCAAAAGCAAAAGCAGGCCCTCGGCGTACTCGGTTAAAGGGTGGCCATATGACCTCCTTTAGGGAGGATGGTTCTCCACCCTCCTTTCTGATGGTGCATAAGTGCCCCCTACCTCTCTGAGCTCCCTCTGTGCCCACCAAAATCCATGTCACCCATCAGACTTAAAAAGGGGCTTAGGGAATGGAGTAGGAATTAAAAGGTGGGCAAATTGGGGCCACGGCTGAAATGGCGCTTTTACTCCGAGGTTCCTTCTGTCTGCATTCACACAGACTTTTGCCCCACGGACTGAGCAGCAATCCAGCAGAGTCTCTCATCCCCTGCTTTGTCACCCCCACCCTCTGATTCCTTGCCAGGCTGTTGTCCCGTTGGATGGAAGCTCTTCCGGTGGAAGTGCCTGTGGATTTCGTGGGACTGGAAGAGCTGGGAAGACAGCAAGAAAGACTGTGAAAGGAAGGAATCTCAGCTGCTGATTCTGAAAAAACCCTGGGATGCTGGAGAAATGTGGGATGCGGTGGTAAGAAAAAGTGGCAAGGTAAGAACGAAGGGCCAGAAAGGCCTGGGGGAGCCGGGGCTCCCCTGTCAAGCCTTAACAGCTGGAAGGCTCTGTGGGCTGCACCGTCTCTGCTTCTGCCACCAAAGAAGGGCGAAAGAAAGGAAAAGCCTGCTGGCTTCTCTCTGCAATGGACACTTTAGACCAGGGAGCTGTAGGGGTCGTCCTGCATACAAGCCTAGCGCTCTGTGTGTATTTAGAAAGAGGAGCCTGTCTCAAGGGGGGGCAGCACCAGACCTATTCCCTGAAACCTAAAAGGTCATCTTCCCCACCTTTTTTTCTATTGCTAAACCTAACCCTACATTATCCCTTCTGAAATGCAGATCTCTTGCCTTTTTGTTCTGCTGACCACGAAAAGGAGTAGATAGCCGGTACTTGTTTCAGCACAAGTGAAAAGTAAATCACAGATCTAGTTTTCATTTTCATGATCAACAAGCAGATTCATTGTTTTATTAAGCAACTCGTGGGACCTAAGGATCATCTCTTCAGTACAGTATTCAAAACTATTGTCATCAATCTACATCATGTTGACACAAAAAATATACTCATAGAATACAGCACATTAGCGATGGGTGTAAATTAGAAAAATTGTCATTTATTTTGACTTGTGATTCATCAAAGTGGATGGATCACAAATTATGAATTTTTTCTGATGAATCAACAAATCAATTTGTTAATTGGGTTTTGACTCTAAAATCCTATAAAATGCCCTCCCCCAAGGACCTAGAGGCATAAAATTAGCAGGGAAGAGTCAGTAGAAGCTTCTCTTTGATTTTAGTGTCCCTAAGTGTGTAGTGTGAACTTTCCTGGGCGGGGTATGTGTGCGTGTGTGTATTTTGTGGGTATATAACTTGGACATCTGAAACCCAATCTTCACCAAACTGGGAGGGTCACAAGAAGCTTCCCTGTAATTTTGGCATCTTTAGGTGCCTTGGGAGCAATTTTTATAGTCAAATAAATCAATGAACCAAAAATCACTAAAAAAATTCATTGGTTCATATTTGTGGGGGGCATTGATTCGTACAAATACAAATCGATGAATTATCAATTTTTGAATGAATTTGTTGATTCATTTTTTAATTCATGCCCATCTCTATAGCACATGCATTACATGTCCACATACTTTGAGAAAGAGAGAGAGAGATGTATTGTGTAGCCCAAACCCTTCCTCAGTGGTATCATTTCCTGTATGAGAAGACTTGTTCTCTGCTAAACTTCCGCACCCTCTGCAGCCTGAAGAGGGGGGGGTTCTGGATGAGGAAGAAAAAACCACAAATAGTGCCTTTGCAACTTCTGGTATTCACCACGTCTGCAAACCTGTAGTTGCTCGATCAGTGACGTTAAACATTTCCTTTTTTATGCTAGCGCTCTCTGCAATCTGATGGAGCCTGGATTGGGCTTCGGAAAACATCCCGGCAGCCTTTGTTTTGGGTTGATGGCTCTCCCTATGAAGGGTAAGTGCTGGAGAGACCCCCCCTTTAATCTTCTCCAAAGCAAGGGGTCGTAGTGTGGAGGGCCCCCCCATGGGCCGTGGCCGCAGGTGCAAAATCTTTAGGGGGTGCAAAGGGGCCCAAGCCTCTGTGGAGGCTCTGACCTTCTCCTTGGCGGGGGGGGGCAGCTATCTTCAGAGGCAGGAGGCCAGGCATCCCTTCTGGGAGCCAAGGGCCTGCTGCCTCCCCCTCCCACTCACTTGTCACTCAGCAGGGGCCACTC